AGCCCCGGCCCCAGCACAGGACCCACTTTCAGGCCGGGCTCAGCCCTGCACGAGGGGGAGATTTGCTAGTGAAAAGCATCTCCCATGCTGCTCTCTGCGATTCTCACTGGTCCTCCCTCCCCGTCAGCAAAGGGCCATCCGGGTGCAGAAATGGGACCTGGTTTGTGCCCACTGCACACCCTCAGGCCGTGACACATCCTTCCACACCCGGGGGTGCCTGAAGCTGGGTTTGGGGGTGCTCACAGTACCCATTTTTTAAAAATCACCCTTACGTTTGATCACGGTCAGGTGGACCTCTTGGCCCCTACAGTCCTTGGACTATAAGATGCCGACCAGGTCAAAAGACGTAATGAATTCCCAGGGACAGACCCCAAACAGGGCCCTTGCCCAGGAGAGCAGGTGTCGTTTTGGAAGCAGGCCATGGCCAGCCCGCGGGCAGAGCAGCGCCCTGAGCAGAATCTGTGAGACTTGACAAGGGCCTCGGGACAGGCCTGCTCAACCACAAGCCGAGCAGCCATCCTCATGCCTGCGCTACTGCCTCCCCGCCGGAGCCTGCGGGTGCCAGGAAGATGTTGGCACCCATGGCTGGAACCAGGTGAAACGCCAGCTCCTGAGGAACGCGGAGGCCCTGTTCTCACCTGGGGGTGGTGTGGGGACATCCGGCCATGTCCGGGGACACTCTGTGGTTGTCCCCATGGAGAGGCAGGGGCTACTGGAACCCAGAGGCCAGAGGCGCTGCTAAGCACCTGCATTTCACGGACGGCCGCCCAGCCAAGAGCTGCCTGGCCCCCAAGGCCATTGGTGCCCCCGTTGAGAAGCTCTGAGAAGAGGCTAAAGCACCTGGTGAACCCCAAGAAACCCCAACTGTCTGGACAGCCCCGTCTTTAAACCACATCCGAGCCCATGAAAAGTGACGCCACCCGCTCCACGCATCTCCTCCGGTCCCGCGACCTCCCACTCCGCGACCTTCCACTCTGCGACCTCCCACTCCGCGACCTCCCACTCCGCAACCTCCCTCGCTTTCAGAGGGTGTCTCCGGGCCGCTTACTTGAGAGCCGGCTGGAAATCTCCGCGGAGAGGGTTGTCATGCCGCTGGCCCGGCCCGGTGAGATGGGCGTCGCTGGGTGCACGGAGGGAGAGGCGATCGAGCCCAGGTACTGGTAGGACTGGTCGTAGGACCAGGGCGGGGAGGGCTGGATCTGCCTGGTGTCTGCGGAGAACCGGGAGGTCAGTGACAGGTAGAGTGGGAGGGATTAAAAAAAAAGTCTTTTAATAAGAAACCAGTTTCCTTTGTCTCAATATGGCACATGTGTGTGGCCTCTCTGCCAGTGTCCCGTAAGCTCACTTAAGTCCAAGTATTTGCTTTCGTTTGGCCCTTTCTCCCCCCAAAATACTGAAATGTAGTTTATGTTTGGTTCTTGAAGGTTTCCCTCTGCTAACTCCCTCCACAGGCTTTATTTCATCACTAGAGGCCCGGTGCACGGATTTGTGCACTGGTGGGGTCCCTCGGCCTGGCCTGCGGGGATCAGGCTGAAACCAGCTCTCCGACATCCCCTGAGGGGTCCCTGATTGTGAGAGGGTGGTTCTAGGGTAACGCACCCCGGAACGAGGCTCCCTCCTCTCTGGTTCTGGGTGTCACCTGAGAACCACAGCTGTCAAGTCACTGCAGCTCAGCAGCTCCTGTGTTGAGCATCTGCCCCCTGGTGGTCATTGCGTGTCATAGCTACTGGTTGGACGGTCAAGTGGTCGGACGGTTGCTTACACTTTTATATATAGATATGAGAATGATGATGAGGAAGATTTCCCGGTGGAGTGTTTTTTTTTTTTTTTAATATATTTTTTTTGGGAGGCAGAGACAGAAACATCAATGATGAGAGAGAATCACTGATCGGCTGCCTCCTGCACGTCCCTCACGTCCCTGGAGATTGAGCCTGCAACCCAGGCCTGTGTCCTTGACCAGGAATCGAACTGTGACCTCCTGGTTCACAGGTGGACGCTCAGCCACTGAGCCCTGCCGGCCAGGCCAGGTGGAGTGTTCGCGTTCAAACTGTCGAGCTGCTCGTGGTGACTGCGCAGACATTTCAGGTCACCAATAATCACATGACCACCATCCGAAACGTTTCCCAACTCAGTGACCACCTGTCTGTGCTTAGAGAGCAAGAAAGAACGTGCAGTGTTTTGTTTTTCTTTTTGCACCTTCGGCAGAATGAACCTGCACGGTCTGAAATGCCTTCTGTTTAGGGGAATTTTCTGCCGAGGCCGATGGAAAAGAGGCCCGGCCAGGCAGCTGGCCCTGCAGCCCGATGACGCTCGCAAACCCAGCCCCAGAGCCGGCTCCGTCACCCGACACCGAGGGGTCCTGCCTCTTCCCGGGGCAGAGTGTGGGCAAGAACCTTCTAGGCTGCCGGGAAAGAGGCCCAGGAAGGCAACGAGACCAGAGTCGGCTTTGGAAGGTTTAGGTGAAAAGGATTTTGGAAACTGGACTCCAGCGTTCCCAGGAGTCTGTTCTCAAAAGCATCACGCTGTTTGCAGGTGAAAAGGAGGAGAAAAGCCCTAACGGTTTTGCTCAGTGGATAGCGCATCGGCCTGCGGACTCAAGGGTCCCGGGTTCGATTCTGGTCAAGGGCATGTACCTGGGTTGCGGGCACATCCCCAGTGGGAGATGTTCAGGAGGCAGCTGATCGATGTTTCTTTCTCATCGATGTTTCTAACTTTCTATCCCTCTCCCTTCCTCTCTAAAAAATCAATAAAATATATTTTAAAAAAAGGAGGAGATAAAAAAAAACCCTCTATTTTCAGGCAAAATACGTAAGAAAATGCAGATTGGACATTGCCCCACCAGAAGCCGGTTTTACTTTTCTTTAGGTCAAACACGAACGTTCTCTGTGTCCCACCTTCTCTGTGGACAGAGGGCACAGCAGACTGTACCACCTGGGGCCCCAGCCGGGGCGCTCCATGCTGGGCGTCACTCTAGAGAGCAAGCCGCCCAGGAAAAGAGCAGGTGTGAGTGTTGTCCGTGCCGGGACATAGACATGCGTTATTCCCCCGGTGATGCCATGTCCCTACCTGCTCCAAGGGGCGCCCAGCTCCCAGAAAGGGGTCCCTCTGCTCGGCTCCCCAATGTTGTATTGTGGGCAGCGCACCAGGCACCTGGAGCCCCACCCAGTCTTCCTTCCCATTCTTCTCCCAGCAGCCCCCCACCCTTCCCTCCGACAGATCCATTTCTTTCTATCTTCTTATATTTTTATCCTCACCCGAGGATATTTTTCCATTGATTTTTAGAGAGAGGGAAAGACAGAGAGAAACACTGATGTGAGAGAAACACATCGATGCGTTGCCTCCTGCACGGGCTCTGACCAGGGCCTGGGACGGGGAGGAGCCTGTATCCGAGGTACCTGCCCTTGACTGGAATCGAACCTGTGACCTTTCAGTCCGCAGGCCGACGCTCTATCCACTGAGCCACACCGGCCAGGGCATGTTTCCTTTTCTTAAATAACTGAATTATTAGGTTTGAAAAACCTGGGCAGCTGTCTTAACTGAGAATCTTTGAATCTAATTGTAAAGTCGGGTTTTCATGGGCTGCTGAATTTCAGAGAATTCGAGGAGCTGCAAGGAGTAAGAGAGAGAGAGAGAGACCCATTGGAAACTCAGGGGAGAATACACGGGCAACCAGAGATGTCAGACAGCCTCGCAGCTCACAGCTTTCCCACCGCCGACAGCAAACGGCGCCCAGCAGGCTGCTCAGGGCTCCCACAGCGCTGCACGCACTTTGCTCCCGGGGGAAAACGCAGACTCAGCTCTCCTGTGAGACGCATGTGTCCTCGCTACCACCCTGGCCGAGTGGATCGGCAGCGCTCAGATATCTGAATCACTTACCAGGCGAACAAAAGGCGTTTTGTAATCGTCACTAAGCCCCCAGGCTGCGGATTGCGGCGGCAGCGCAGGCGGGCAGACAGCCCAGCACCAGCCGTGTCTGAGGCCGCGGCAAGCACACGTCCAGGCCCGGGGTGCGTGCTCCGTCATGTTTTCCTGGAGCGGGAGCGACGCGCGAGGCTCTTCTGAACTCGTAATTAAGCCGCGAGCCTTGCCCACGTTTCACAGCCTCTTAACAATACGCTTTGGGAAAACGATCTTTATGATTAACGTTTGCGTTCTATGATTTTTCTGAACACAGGGTTTCAGATTCAACATCTTCTCCCTTCTCACCCCAACTCAGCCCCCACCCCCGTGTCAGAGGGGAGACGGCACTGAGCACCCACGGGACCCCTCCCGGGATCCGTGTCCGCCCCTGTGGCCTCGGCGTTCACTGCCCGGGGGGTCCAGAAGGTGGTGGTGGCGAGCCGCTCACATCCCGTGTGGGCGTTTCCTTTTTCTACGTTATTAATAAAAAGCCGAAACTGAAATGAAAACAGAAAACGAAGGGCCGAGAATATGGGGAATGTGAGTTCATGACTCAGGTACCTCCCTGCTCGGACGGGGCTGACACGGACATGTGAACGCACGTGTAGATGTGGCAGTGCTGTGGGCCGCCCGGACCCCGGGTCACCTGCTCAGAGTCTTTACTTTTTAAAGATATATTTTTATCAGTCAGAGGAAGACAAGTATCACATGATCTCACATGTGGAATCTAAGAAACAAAATAGACTGATGAACAAAATAGGTCCAGAGACAGCAGCATGGAGCAGAGTGATGAACCTCAGAGCGAAGGCGGGTGGTAGGTGTATGGGGAGAGTTCAACCAAAGAACTTGTCTGCTTACAAGCATCCCCCATGGGCACGGACAATAGGGCGGTGAGGGCCTGGGGTGGGGGTGGGGGGACAGGCTAGAAGGGCCAATGGGGAAATACAGGGGGCATATGTAATACTTTCAACAATAAAGATTTTTTTTAATGAGCAAAA